AAGATTCGCGATTTTATTCTAGTACACTGTTTATATTTAAACATTGTTTCGTTTTTGTTTGCTTCGATCACTGACTTAAATCTTTAATCGGTTTCGCTAATTAGATTACGTTTAACAAGTATTATTTTGTCTCTTAATCTTTTTTTACTCTCCTCTTTTTTGTTGATATATTTTTGATTCGTGTAAATTATTTGTGTAACGTCGACACCGTCGACGACCAAGCGAACGTAGGAATTAATTATTCATCCTGGTGATGTCTCGATGTTAATGACGATACGTTGAACGCCAACGTGTTCGTCGACATGCTCTAAAATTCCTCGATTCCGTTGTAACGAACACTTGTACAGATCGACTCGAGAAAAGGTTACCTTGTACATACCGGGTGAAATAACGATGACGTCCGTTCAATAACCTCAGAACAAAGAAAAATACAGGGTATACGCAATCGAAAGGTGACCGACCTTTTCCGTTCGCGTACACAACGGTACAAACGTGCAAAGTCCTTTTACAGTCTCACTTTCGTCCTCCAAGTTTTTGAAAAAAAACGAATGAATCCAAAAAAAGAACGAAAAACAATTCCTTTGATTTTTGAGAAAATGAAACGCTGACTTTCGTGACGTGCGTGTTCATGTGCATATATATGGCGAGAAAAAAGTATTTATACTTCGCTCGTTGCTTTCAACTGGCGATCACACTGTCACTGATAAACAGAATTCACGATCAATTCCGTCGACCTATACATCGATACTTTTACTAGTCTCAGTGCTAGCTACGACAAAATGAATATTAACCTTTTGCACTCGAGAGGTGACTCACCGTTCGATTTGACAATGCAAAATTATGAATATTTAGTATTTTGAATGAAACTTTCTATTGCAATGTGAAATATTGAGATGAAGTAAAATAATTAATTAACTTAAACTTTTGTACACACAGGCGTTTACGTTCAACGTCATTGTAACTAAAGTTACAAAATATATTCATTTCAATGAAATTATTAAAACTACTGAATACATTGTTAATTTGTGTTTATACGTTGATATTTATTAATTTCATACTGCGTAAATTTTATTATAATCACGAAACAAAATTCGGCCTATAAAGGGTTAATTTATCTGTGAATTATCGTTGAATTATTTCGTTGGAGAACGTTGAGTATTTCCAGGCAAAAACTTTCGAGTGCAAAGGGTTAACACTGTGCCGTCCGCACGCGTGATCAGGAAACTTTTCTCGAGGTTTCCGTGGGATCATTGAGCGTCAAGTTTCACTAATCTCAATGGCTAATCCTGTCCCTCCGTTTTCACAAAATTTCGAGGATATATGTAAATAAACGTAAGATTCATTGGCGATTGACGTCGCCGGACGGCATAGTGTTAACAATTTCCAAGCAAACGTTATATATGTTACAGTAAATTTGACTAATCCGGCAATTATACGTAGTCCCTTGGAAATTATGCGTAATCACGAATAATTTTATATATAATTTTATGTATAATAATAATTGGAGAACGATTATACGTAATCACCAATAAGTTTATATATAATTTTATGTATAATAATAATTGAAAGATGATTATACGTAATCACTAATAATTTTATACATAGTTTTATGTATAATAATAATTGGAGAATGGTTATAAGTAATCACCAATAATTTTATATATAATAATTGGAGAATGATTATACACAATCACCAATAATTTTATATATAATTTTATATATAATGATTGGAGAATGATTATACACAATCACCAATAATTTTATATATAATTTTATGTATAATAATAATTGGAGAATGATCAAACACTATCACAAATAATTTTATATATAATTTTATGTATAATAATAATTGGAGAATGATTATACATAATCACTAATAATTTTATATATAATTTTATGTATAATAATAATTGGAGAATGATCAAACACAATCACCAGTAATTTTATATATAATTTTACATATAATAATTAGAGAATGATCAAACACAATCACCAATAATTTCATACATAATTTTATATATAACAATAATTAGAGAACGATTATATATAATCGCCGAGGGATTACGCGTAACCTGCTTAATCACATTACCCTGAACATATATATATATATAAATACTTTTCTCTTAGAACAGTATGCGATTCCCAGAATCCCGCACGACTATGTAAATATATACATATATATACACCAACACTCACACGTATATAACACAAAAAATATATATATAATATTTCTAAATATTTATTATCATATTAATATATTCATATATTTATATATTTTTACTTCTCTCCTAAATAACGTTCAGTTGCCGCA